GTTTGTAAATGGACCTTTAGGGCAAGAGCAGACCCCACCAAGCATCCCCATTTTGCCGACCATTGCTTGTCTTTTGTAAAGTCCTACCGCTCAATCCTGATATTGATGGCTTCCCAGTCAACAGGTGACTGATATAAAACAGAAAAAATTCTCTACAGTATATCTGTACAGAGAATCCCGATGCTACCCCCTTAACATCCCCCCCACCCCTCAAACCTCTCTCCTTGTCCCAAAAAATGGGGTCTCATGGATTTTCTTCAAATACAATCTGAGGAGAATTCAGAGAAAAACTTGTAGAGAAGACTCCGTTAAGGGCCATTGATGAGTGTTATAGCTAGGCAGCAGGGGACAAGGGGCATGCACTGGTATATGTTCATGGCATTCGTGTATTTTGAAGATAATGAAGGGGGTAGTTATGTCATGAGGGAAAAGATAGTGGGTTAGGGCATCTAATCACCAATCCTAATTAACAAGTCAGTGCCATATGCAGTATTTCCATGACACATGACAATAGAAAATTCCTCTGAGTGAAGGTCAGCATCAGACTCTCATCTCAGCCTTCAAATTTGTTCTGCCAAATGACCATTGAGGTAAAACAAAAGGCCAGCCCACCGAAAACCAAACGAAACTTAACAGGAAGAATCTTTAGTTGTTTGGTCGTCAAGAAGGCTCACTTCTTCCTGTTGTAGTACAATCTCCAAAAAAACCCACAAGAAAGCTAGTTTCCTTCCTAGACTAGATCTCCCCATCTCTAAGAAAAGTAACATTAAATTCCCATCTAGAATTCATGGTGCTGGCTTTTCTTTGAAGATGGTGCAAAGAAAGGTGCCCAACAAGCTTGGTATTCAAACTGATCATGTTAAATCCGAGAAGCGGTTGGGGAACCTGAAACCAAGTTCTTGCCAGTATCAGGATGGCAAGAATAGAGGACCTGATATGAAGAAGAAAATGAAAAGGTCAAGATCAATCAAGATTTCAGATATTGGGAGCTTGAAATCATCATCACCTTTGAGGAAAGCCATATCACAGCCTGGAAAGCTGCCTCCTCTCAATGTTACGACAACTGCAGCAGCACCACAGAAGCAGTTTATGATCAAAACAACTGATGGTTCACCGAATTACATGAAGTCAACCAGTAGTTCAGAGGCAAGAAAGGAGCGTTCCCAGGTGAGTCCCTCGAATACTCAAACAGGTTCAAATGGTAAGAACCTGCATTACAGAAACTCTGGGAATTCGAGATTTAGTCCTGCTTCTGCTAGCAAACCAGCAAGAACTTTATCAAAGACATCTAGTTTGAAGCTGGTGAGGACTCCAAGTTTTAAGCCAACGAGAGGTACTGCGAAGAAATGTTCTAGAGTAGCTCTTTGTGCTGATGTGAGTACACAAAAAGCTACCTGTTCTTCAACCCTGAAGGATTCAAAGTTTCCTGCGTACCTCATGCTTAATCCTGGGGGTACTGAAGCAGAGGGAACTTCAGTCATGAAGGTCTGCCCATACACCCACTGCTCTCTTAACGGTCATCAACACAAACCTGTAACTCCGCTGAGGTGCTTCTTGAAGGCAAGGAGGCGTTCGTTGAAGGTCCAGAATAGTATGAAATTGGAGGATTTATCCCCACGCAGAGCCAGGCCATCTGGCGATCGAACAGAAGAAATTCATGGTGGACTGTTGGATTTTTCTGAAGACAAACCTGTGATACAAGAAGTTGGAAAGGATTTCTTTATTGAAACCTACGCTAACAATACAGAATATGGGGCCTATGAAACCGAAAAGAGGACAGAGAATGAAGGCAAGACAGCAAGTGCTTTTTTGGGAGAACCTGAAGGACAGATGAATGAGTCCTGCTTTTACGGTGGCCATGAAGCCGCAGTTGAACAAGACAACAACAATCACGTTTCTGAGAGCTCGTCAGATGAATCACAAGAATCAGAGATTGATTTTGAGGAAACCTTTAGTGATACCAATGCAGCAGAGATCAATGTTCCAGTGGGTTTCGTCAGAGCAGAAGAAAAGCACGGGGATAGAGACTGCTCATTGACCTTCTCTGAAGGAGAAGCAATCATGGGAAGCTGTAACAACAGGAGTGACATTGAAGGGGAATGCCAAGCGAGTATGGAGGAAGATGATCACATCTCTGAAGAAACTGGCATGGAGTGGGAGGAGGACCAACCTTCTACTTCAGAGATTGGTGAAGAAGATGATGATCTGAACAAACATGATAAATTTTGGACCAAAGTAGGGTTCACACCAGAAATCGAGAAACTTGATTGGAGTGAGGATTCTGAGATCATAACGTCTGATGATGTAGTCGGCAACTGTACAAAAGAAATTCTAGCTGATGAGGTACTGCGAGAATTTTTTTCAGAGGAAACTGCCTCTATTGATATGCAATGCAGCGATAGCGATTCTGAATCAGATATCATACCCCACTATTGTCCGATTCTCCAATCTATCCAAGTGGCAGGGAACTTGGCTTATGATCAACCTTCTGCAGCTGAAGATGCATTTGAGGCACCGAAAACAGAGGAGAAAGATGAAGAAGCTGGGAGAGATCTGAGAGATGCTGTGACCACTTCAGCTCCAATAAGGGAATCAATTGTGGAACCAATAGGAGCCAGAGAGAACATTCAGGAGAATAATGAAACAGATAAATCTCTTGGAGATGGTGAAAATGGTTGCACGGCAGACATTTCAGCTGAAGCTTTAAATGGTCACCAGGAGGATAAATCTCTTCAAGCTGAAAATGCAGCTATAAGACCTCATATTTCTGAAAAGAGAGAGATGATTGGAACAAACAAAGAGGACGAAATGGATCAGCGCATCGAAGTTGCAGAAAATAATCAAGAATTTGCCACTGCTGAATTCCCTGATGGTGAAGCTGGAGATGCAACAGAAGATCGAGAGCAAGTTGCCAATGCTGAATTGCAACTTGAAATCCATGTTTCTGATTCACCACAGGATTTTTCTGAAGCTGATCAAGATGATGCTGAACTACATGCCGATGGAAACCACATGACAACTAGTGAAGACGATACTTCAAGTCAAGATCTTGTTGATGCCATCACTCCAACTGAGCCTCTTGATCACCAATTGGATGAGCAGGATGAGACAAACCATGTTCTTGAGAACGAGAACTTATTTGAGGAAGATAAAGATGAACCTAAAAAGATCGAAATCCTAACTGCCATGGATTTTGAGGCTCCGAGTAATTCAAGAACGCATGAAATCAACTCAACTGGAGATGATACAGGAGAAGTTGAGAAGACGGAAGTGGAAGTTTGTAAAGAGTCAGATACAGCAGAAACCTTCCTCTCTGCCAATAATGGAGCAACGAGCACAGGATCAAAGCGCCCGTTCGTATACACAAGAGGAAATCCCAATCAAGAACTTCAATATACCTGCAACATCAGGAAGTGGACAATCGCAGAAAAGAAACCCATCAAGGACTTGGAGGAAGTGAGGGAATTCAACCCAAGAGAACCAAATTTCCTTCCCGTTGTTCCTGATCCAGAGGCAGAAAAGGTCGATCTCAGGCATCAAATGATGGATGACAGGAAAAATTCTGAGGAATGGATGCTTGATTATGCACTACGACAGGCTGTCACCAAACTCGCTCCAGCTAGGAAGAGGAAGGTGGCACTACTTGTTGAAGCTTTTGAAAAAGTCTTGCCAACACCGAAATATGAAACTCATATCAGGCATACATCAGCAACATTTTCTCACACAAGAACCATTCAAGCTTGTAGCTGATGGCAGTCACCAAGGTAAACGAGACATTACTTTCTAGATGTTATTTCTTTCTATTTAGCTGCAGTAGTGAAAATTGAAATGCCATTGTAGATCAAAGAGGACAAAAAATCAGTTGAAATGTGACCAGGTCATGGAGTCCTTTCGTATTTGTTTGTGCAGGTCATGCAGAAGTGGGAGCTGCTATAATAAGTTGGTGGATTAGAAAGTACTGTTATCGCTAACCATGGCCCAAGCTTTAGGAGTAAACAACAAGCTCAGTAGAGAAACATCTTAGTCTGTTGATATAAAGAATTTCAGAGTTCAGATTGAAGAGCAGATGCTGCATTTGGTTGTTTCTCCTAACCTCAGCGGGCGCAGTGCAAGTGAAGAGTGGCTAGCTCAATAATATAAATATAATAACAGTGTGAAATCTGACTCTGAGTTCTGACTACCAGATGATTACTATATATCCTATGATACTGTAAGAGACACTATTTTATCTCTAAATGTTGTTAATTATTTGTGGTTACGCTGTCTACTATTGTGCAGTAAATACTATTGTAATTATGCTCATGTTCATCTGATGATTTTCATCTCAAGTCACATTTCCCAGCAAAGAAAAGAACTTAGCTACTATCCAATCCTTAAGAGGTTATGGATTCATCACATGGAAAACTTCATCCATTTTCTAACCAGAAGATGATGTCAGGCTAAGATGATGAAGAAACTAAACCGATTTCAAGAAAAAATAATAACATGAATATTCTGTCACGGCCAAATTATTAAAAAGAAATAGAGACAATTATTCCAATAATCATCATCAACTACTTTGATTCTCACAGGCCCAGTAAGATATGCATGCTAGAAGTGATTATAACCACAACCGGAAGCTTCACTCCAGCAGGCCTCATGCTATTGCAACTACACAATTCAAGTCAGGGACATCCAATGTCCATGTTTCGTAGACTTCCAAAGACAGACCAATTTACTTGCAGATTCCTGTCAATATCAGACGGATTACATCTTGAAGAAATAGTTCCTCTGCTTTTTCTTTTTCTTTTTTGGCTCTAAGGATAATTATTTATCTTGAAGGATAAGATACTTTGCTTATATTTTCTTTCGCTTTTGTAAATTTCCTTAAAGTTTCTGGAAATTGACACAAATGTCTTTGTAACCATGTGATGGAGATGTTATAGTTACTTTTATTTCTGCACCACCATATTTAAAAGTAAACTTAAAAGAGAATATGTGGTAAAATTCTGAAAAAAATATAAGCAGATAATTCATATGCATTGACTTACTAGCGGTAAACATAGTTGTGATATAGATGGATCTAATCAAAATTGGTGATACAGTTGTGAGAAAACAACATTAACAATGTTATCCTTCAATAAAAAGACAATATGTCCAATACATTATTCAGTTCTGTACAGGAGTTGCTTTACTGATAAATGTGACTTGATTGTGGGCGAGTCAAGAAGAAGTGATTGAAGTTCTCCAACATAATTTTCAAGATTACTGCAGCATGAGCTATCATCCTTGTTCATTCTGGCTACATCAGAACTTGCCTTCTCAAGCTCCCTTTGCTCCATTGCTTTCTTTCTCAATATGTCATCATGAAAGAACTTAAGAGCATCCACTGTAGAAATAGAATGCACTGATTCATACAAACCCTGAAATTTGTTTCTTTTTTCCTGCGTTTCAATCAGCTTCTCCTTCAAGTCATCTGGCAGGCAGGCAACCGCACTTCACACAAATAAGAAAAAGGAAAAGAGTTAAACAAGAAAAAATGTTAAAGGAGAAGAGATCTCTTGAAAGCTGGACATCACTATACTATAATCCTCCTTTCATTTTCTTATTGTTTACCTGGTAACACCTCTAACAACACCCCAGCTGTATCCTACAAGCACTGATTGCTTAAAACCAACATTAAATCCCTCTTGTGCAGAATCTTCTTTCCCTGCTATGAGACCATCACGATATCCAATCTGAAGTCATCAAAATGAGACCATTAAAGGTTTGGAAATCAGTACATAAGCAGGGAAAACAGAATCATGAGAAACAAACAGAATCATCAAATTACCGTGTGAAATTGATCATGTCTCCTCTGCCACTCCCGGTCTAGATCAGATTCTCTATCCAGCTCAACAGAATCATCCCACAATGGTCCACCATCATCCTGCAAGTCAACTTCACAGCAATCCAAAACAAAGAAACGCATGTTGCTATAAAGACTCGAGGCATAACTAAATTCAACCCACCAGCCTCAAAAAGTTAAGCAGTGCTCACACAAGAAACTGACTGTATTTAAGCACCACCAAATAAAAATTTATACATTTGCAGAAATTAGAAGTTTCAGACATGCGAGAAAATGAACCAAAAACTGGAGCAATTACGAAAACATTGGAAAATGAACCAAAAGTTGGAGCAGTTACAGAACAGGATGCAACTGAAAGTCATCTACATTTGTTTTTCTTTCATCACATGCACAGATTGCACACATATACACACATATACACACAAATAAAGGTAAAAAAGAGTATCAATATGCAGCCTTTTTTTTCATTACTCATTCCCAGCTAGTGCCAAAACTTGGGAAATTCAACCAAGATCACCATTTTCCAAGCAGAAGATAACAATAAGGCTATATATTTATATCAAGCAAGCACAAACTAATTGAGTCAGCTAAACAGAAGACCATATAAAGCCAACACAAAGCAAAATAAATTAACCAAAATCAATAATAAAAAATAGATCAAAACCCATAGCAATGACTCTACTTACCATTAGCAATGGGCTTAGAACCCAATTCAGCATTTGAAAGTTGCAAACTTTCTGAATAAAGCTCCTTAGCAAAACTGCCTTCCATCTATTACAACACAAGAACCACACAAAAAAACCCATTCCAGAAAACTTCAAAACAACAATAAATATCTATCTACAAAAGCAAAATTCAGCCAAAACGAAAACAACTAATGATGAGAAAAGATTGAAACTTTACTCTGTTCACTCAAAAAAGGTAAAGACTTTATTAAGTTTTGATTGATTTTGTTCAAATTTAAGAAAAGATTTGGCCTTTACCTTTGATTAGTGGTTGAATTAAAAAGAGAATCCGACTTTGTTTGTTGAGTAACCGGTTGATTCAATCGGGTCGGCGATCCAACAAGAGGCTGATGCTACATGGGAAGAGAAGAACTACGGTGATAGATGGGTCATGGATTCTCGAATCAAGACCCTGGACCCTGGGCCTGGAGATAGATGAAATGAGAGCAGTTGGACTAGGCTAAAGTTCGGCTTTTCTATTCTCTGTTAATGTAAATGGGTATGTTCTGGGTTAGAAGGATGGGCCACTGGTCGGCGCTTGTGATCCTTTGTTGATGGGTTTTCTAAGGAAAAAAAGTTTTATTTATTTACTCTTTTTTTTCTTTCTCATCCTGTACCAAAAAATGACCAAGAAATAATATTTTATATTTTCCTTCCAATAGAAACCATAATTGTGTACCTAGTTTTTTTTTTTTTAGATTAACGTGGATGTCCGGGCCAGCTTACGCGCACCACGACTAATCTCACGGGCCCTGAAGTTAACGACCATGTAAGCCTCCAGTGGCCATCATATGAGCAACCAAAGACTCGAACCTGAGACCACAGAGAAAGCAAGGTTACTGGATTATCTTGAAATGATGATATATTAATAAAAATTTAAAAATAAATTGAAATATTGATATTTTAGATAAAAAAATAAAAAATAATATATTTTTTAAAAAATTAATTTGATTAGATCTTATCAACCAAGTCACATATCAACTCATTAAATCATTCAGATTAAATTTGTATGTGCTAATATCCAAAATAATTTATCTTGATGAGATTCTAAATTAACCTTTTAAACCATGTCAAGTTTAATAATAGAAAAAACCTGTTTATTTATTATAGTTTAATTGTCATGTTTAATTACAAATAATTTTAGTTTCAATTGCAATTTGATTTAATTTTTTATTTATATAAAATAAATAAATCATTGTTGTGAATAGTTTTTGTTTGATGTTCCATTTATTTTATTAATCTATTTTAAAAAATAGATTAATAATACAAGATCAATTGAATAAATGACAATTAACGTCCAGCCTTCTTTTCAAGGAGTACTTTACGTGCATCCAATTATCAAACAATGATTGCTTTTTTTTCCATCCATGCATCTTCCATTTTTCTAATATATCCATCCATTTTCTTTCCTTTTTATCCAAACAAACAGTTCTATATGAAGATAGAGACTTGCACGCCAAAGAAACTTCAACATTATTTTAAACATTTCATTTTATATCTTAATCTTTCACTTTATTTTAATAGTGTAGTTGTGGGATTTGATTTCCAGATTGATTTAGAAAATGACTAGCTTAATTGTTATTCCATCATATCAACTATATTGTTTTTAATGAAACGACACTATTTTATACTCTTACTGTTTGTAATATATTGACTCAATCAAGATTGGATTGGATTTGATAGAATTAATTGAGTCATTTAGATATTGGTCTGTAATTTAACTAAATTAATATTTTATTCCTGAGTTCTTCGTAAAGCGATGCATAGTTTAACGAATATGTTTATAGACATAGACATATCACTGGGAAATCAAGATGAAATCCGCAACAGATTTAAATATCTTCCATGTGTTCCGGCTGAAGTAGCCATCAAAATATATAAATATACATCTGTATGTTGAATCTGATCTGAATCTCGGCTTCTCCGATCCCCACATTTTTTAACCAGCAAGCTAGCCATCCAATAAGGGTGATGTATACTTTCTAACTATGAAGAAATCTTAATATCATTTTTCAGGTTGTAAAGCAACTGGAGTATCTCTGATCATAGCTTAACAAAAAAGAAAGGGATCAAGAAAATGTTTTGCTGAGAAACCCTACAGTTGCATGTGTACATATATATGTGTAAGGTCGGAACATATCTCCCTCACTTGCAACCTTAACCATTTCTGTCTATACCAGGATGAATTCTAGGACAACAACATCTTGTTTCCTTTTTCACATGTTGACGATACTTTCACTTCTTTGTTCGGCAAACTCATCAAGGAAGCTGTGGCGAGAGAATAGCTGCAACATGTACCGAGGGAGCTGGGTTCATGACATGTCCTATCCTCTCTACGATTCATCTGCCTGCCATTTTATTCGAAAAGAATTTGATTGTTTAACGTATGGTCGCCCTGATCACCTCTATCTTCAATACAGATGGCAGCCCAATGACTGCAACTTGCCGAGGTACAATATTATACGTGCAACAGTATGCGCATGCACGCCTGAAGAATTTGCTTGTTAATTTGTCTTAGAACGATGAATTGATTTTATGCTAGAAGTAATTTGATTATTTTCAAGTAAAGTAATGTGTTCATTTCTCTCAGATGGTTAGCATTGTGATTTTTGTGCTAGATTGTACTAATTGCATAGCTTCCACATGAATTGATTTGAAAAATAACTCAAATTATTACATCGTTAATTATTTTTATTAAAATAATATTATTTTATTTTATTTAAAAAAATTATTGGTGTTATTCTAATCAAATTTCAACCAAGTCAATCAGCTTATCTAAAAACCAGTTGAGTTAATATTTTTTCTAATTCAAATTAAAATCTAGCCCTAACAGGTTCTAGATCACTAATTTTTCATGTTATGTGAAGTTTAATAATTATAATTAATTATTATTATTTTAATCTGAATATTGTATAATATGTGTGACCTAATTTCAGGTTTGATGGTCAATATTTCTTGAAGAAGTTAAAGGGGCAGAAGGTTATGTATGTGGGGGACTCTCTTAGTCTAAACAATTTTCAATCGATGGTATGCTTGCTCCATGCAGCTGTGCCTGATTCCAATATCACAACAAATTCAAAAAAGTCTGTTACCACAGTGATATTCCAGGTGAGTATATATAGCAATGAATCTTATAAATTTGCTCCACCTAGTGAATTAGAAATATTTTTCCTTGCTAATCTAGAACTACCTAGTATACATTCTTAATTACTTGATGTTTAATTAGTAATTTGATTTAAAACTTGTGTTAATTAACTCTCATAATTTTTCAGGATTATGGAGTGTCAGTGAGTCACTTCCAGTCTCCATACTTAGTCGACATCGAAAAAGAAGAAATTGGCAGGGTCTTGAAACTTGACTCCATCAAGGATGGCAAAACATGGAAGGATATTGATGTTCTTGTTTTCTACTCTTGGGGGTGGTGGTACCGAGCAGGACCTCAGCAGCCGTATGAGCTCCCAATTTATTAACTTTAAATTTTTTATATTAAAAATAGATAACGAATTTGTTCTGGACTTTCTATTAGAAAAAAGCAAAGATAATAACTATTATCATAATTTTTTAAGATTATTTTATTCAGCTTTGAATGTTTTTGACAATTTATTGTTGTCTTTTTCAGGTTTTGGAAACAAGTATTTAAAAAACAAAACACACAAAATTGAAATAATACAGAAACAAATATTCTTTTGTGATATTGCTAAATAAAAATGACTTGATTATAGCAATATTTTGTTTTTGTGAATTTCAGATGGGATTATATTCAAGAAAAGAAGACCATAGTTAAGGACATGAATCGTAGGGTTGCTTTCCACAAAGGCTTAACAACATGGGCAAAGTGGGTTGATTCGAATGTTGATACAAATAAAACTACTGTTTTTTTTCAAAGCATTTCTCCATCTCATTACAAGTAAGCTACCTTCATTTTTAAAATCCAAAATAGTTATTAAAACTAACCTAATCAGGCTATTTGAATCATCTAAAACTTCGAATCTAACCAAACCAAGTTTTAATTTGAATAAAAAAAAATATTTATTTAATAAAATTTAATTAATTCAATAGATTAATCGTGATTCAGTTAACCAAACCAAGTTTTAATCCAACCAAACTCTATCATACCAACATTGTCATTGTTTTGATAAAAAATTATTGATCCGGTTAGTGAAACTCTTACAAAGTCTGACTTCAAGCCGATCATCTTGGTATGTCTTGAAATAGTGGCAGGGAATGGAATAAGCCGGGAGTGACAGATTGTGCAAACCAAAGAGAACCAATGAGTGGATCAACTAATCTTGGTGGTTCACCATTAGCATTGCAAATAGTGGAAGATGTGCTAAGCACTATCAAGAAACCTGTACATTTTCTCAATATAACAGCTCTCTCACAGCTAAGGAAAGATGCACATCCTAGCTCTTATAATGGTGTTAGGCCAATGGACTGTACTCATTGGTGTGTTGCTGGACTCCCAGATACTTGGAATGAACTTCTCTATGCAACTCTTATCAATCAGAAATGAAGAATCATGAAATTGATTACATATATATAGCATAGTCTGTGTGCATATATAATTTAGATTTTCATGTAAGTGCTAATTAAATCTAATGGAAACAAGAGGAAAGGAGCACAGTGATTTCTTCTTCAAGAAAATTAAAGGGCTAATAAAGTGTTATGGAAACAAGAGGAAAGGCTAGATTCTTCTAAGGCAAAGATAATGTTTCATTGTTGCAATTATAATATTCTTATAGATATTTACATGTTTTTATGAAAACATATAATCTTTATTATATTTTAATATATATAAACATTATTTTTTTAATTCACAACAATATTTTTCATTTCATGTCAAAAAATATATAAGTAATACCCACGTTCCATGCATTAATGTTTTTACATTAAAAAAAATAATTATTTGATCTGCTAGAAGATAAGATAAGTTGAATAAATACATTAACACTTTATTTTTTATATTTATTAGTATAAATAATTCTTTATGTTTCTAATTAAATGCATGCATATATCTTATTATTTATAATTAAAATATAAAAAAACATATTTGAAAAGTTTTTTATATTTTTTTATCAAAAATAATATCCCATGTACAGTAGTTCAAATAACTAGGAGAGATCTAAAGATGAGAGAGAGAAAATCACTACAAATAAAAAAAATGATAAATTTTCAACTATTTGGGTACACGCAGATTTAATTGGATTGATATATATATAATTTTCAACTATTTGGGTACACGCAGATTTAATTGGATTGATATATATATAATTTTCAACTATTTGGGTACACGCAGATTTAATTGGATTGATATATATATACATATAAAGTCGTGTGTTAAACAACTTGAAGAAGAGAGGACAGTGACAGTGGAATTTGGGGCATGATCTAGAATAGGAAAAGAAAGACAACAGGTGGGCTTAAGAGTTGGTCCGGTCTGAAAACAAAATATGGCCTCCAATGGCTTGTGCTCTGAGGCAGAAGAAGATGGCTATAGTCGATTTTAATTTTTTTAGAGCACCCTTTTTTATTTTTTTTGGACTAAGAGACAATTATGGCTATTTTTTTTTATGGAAGAAAAATATTTTCCTAAATTTATATCATGAAACAAACATTAATGAATAAGTTGACAAAGAACATTTTAACCTCGCGAAAGAGCGGAAAACATTTTCCTTACCACTATTAATTTATAATATTCATCAACATCATCACATACAATCATTACCATCACATAATCACCATCTACCTTCATAATTATTTTATCAATATTATCATTGTATCCGCAAGTTACAATTAATTTACTACTTTACTGTAAAATTATTAATTATTATTTTATCATTATCCGTGACATCCTCTAATGTTAATATCATCACATTTACAATTATCATCTCATATACCACCACTATTATCTTATTATTAAAATAATCATAAAATAATTTTTATTTTTATTATATACTAACTAAAGTAATTATCATCATTTCATGACTATAAATACTATTACTACTACAATAATGATCATGATTAAGAGGGTGTTTGAGATTGCAATTAAATCATGTTTTTTTTTTTACAAAATTAAGATTTTTTTTTAATTTTTAATTAATTTTTTTAATTTTAGATTGTTTTGATGTATTAATATTAAAAATAAATTTTAAAAAATAAAAAAAATATTATTTTAATATATTTTCAAGCGAATAACACTTTCAAAAACAATATCTATCATATTCACAAACATGTAATAATATTATCATTATCATTACTAATATTCGTTACTTTTATCATAAACATTATGTTTTTTTTTCATTTTATTACTATCATCCAAAAATCATGAATGAAAAATAATTTATTTTATGAAAAAATATTTTTTTAATATATCGATAACAATAAAAAAAAGTCATTTTCTAGAAAAAAAATATTTCATATAAATTTTTATTAAGAAAAATATTTTCCACAAAATAAACTTGTATCCATAAGGGAGAAAACCATACCAAGGAATCTGACCACTAGTAATAAATACATTGAATTGAAACAGTTATAAAAAAGATAAAAAAAACAAAAAAGGGTTCTTTCGACATATCTTGGTGTTATCATCATCATGATCAAATTGAAGTCAAAATTAATGCAATAAAAGCAAAGTTGAAACCAACCCTCGAATTATTCCTCGAGAGACCAAGATATGCTCTTAATTACCTCCATCGGAGGATGCTACTTGCAATTTCCATGCCTGCCCTACAAAAACCCATAATTTATTATTTTTCAAATTTATATGCAAACAGAAATTAATTACGGAATATAAGTTTGGTCCTTCAACTGAGTTGTTTTCCATGTGTTGCATGTGAAAGCCAGGCATGTCTCTGATCACGGCTCGTGCACGCTGTTTGGCCGATCTAGCCATTTCCCGTCAACCGGCTACCAGATTTCAAAGGCCGCGAGTTCCTAAAAAGCAAACTTAACATCATAATTTGTTCTAGAGATAGATTGAGATAAAGTTAGCAAACTTTGACCGTTACATTTCATGATTCATTGTATATTTCAAGATATCAATCACAGGTTTAATAAATTTTAATATATATTTTTTAATTTTAATAAATTTTAAAACAACATTTTTTTAAGAAAACATCTTTACAAATTAAACTAAATTTTAACTAGGTCATGAATTAACTTACCTTGTCAAAATTAACTTTTTTTAAACTTGGTCTTTTTTAAGAGACGGGTTAGTCGAATCCTGAACACCAGGTTTAATAATTTGGTTCGAGGAGTTTAGAAAATATTTTTGAAATGTTTTTTTAATTTAAAATAGTTTTAAATTGGTTATTTTTTTTAAAGAAACTCTAAACAAGTTTTGATAAATAAATATTAAAAAATTTAAAAATCAACCAATATTGAACTTTAAACTCGGTGTGTTCTTGCAAGAACAAAAGGGGTGATGATATTTTAAGTTACTAAAAATCAATCCTTTTTTTTTTTTCTATAAAGGAAACCCTAGTCTTGTAGAGATCCTTGCTGCATTGGGCACTCTAATTAATCACTCATATTTTCTTCTTATCTTTTTCAGTAGACCAGGCCAAATGTCTTTCGGTAAGCACAACTATTTCATGCAAAAATGTCAAAGAGAGTGGCTGCTTTCATCTGCTAGCTCTTATAGCCCAAGATCACGAGTCTAATTTTCGATATTGACAAGATAGGAAAACTCCCATTGTAATATATCCCAAGTATAATCCAATCGAGAGGGTCTTGAATTGGGTGGTTCATGAAAGACAACTTGAGTATAATTTTAAGAGATTGATCCCGTGATTAAGAATTTTAATTTTTCTCTTGTTATCTTTGGGAATATTTCGATTAGGATTGTGTTTTTAAAATCATTTTACTTAATATATAAACAAACTCCAAAAAATATTTCTAATCTCCAAAAAAAGAAAAATGATATTAGTACCATTTGAATCAAAATAAATTACCAATTGTCTTTAATCAAATACTTAATAAAGTAATAATTTGATTAAATAATATCTTAATTGATTAATAAATTTTGAGGGTCCCAAAATATTAATTTATAAATTTCTCACTGTAATGTTAATAATCGAATCTAATCTAACACTTATGGCAACAAAAATCCAGCAACATAAAAGCTGCAAAAACGTAAGCAATTCCAGTAATGTCAAAATCATATACAATTGACCATAGAAAAGGAATCTAATTGATTAATTTCATAATCTAAACCCTCTAATATACATATAGAAGCAAACTAAATTGATTAAAGATATAGCACACACTTCAGTAACCTGCCATATATATGAAGAACACAGACAGGATAATATCGCCAGCAACCTTTGCAACCTCTCTGTCTCTCTCTCTCTCTCTCTCTCTCCCCCCCTTCTCCTCTGACTCTCCACAATGATGGATTCTGGGACTAGAAGATCCGCCTGTGTCCTTTTTGCCATCTTTATCACATTTTCTTGTCTTTGTTTTTCGTCCTCATCAAAGACTCTGCAAACCTCTACAACGAAGAAGAACGTCTGGGAGTGGACAAAATGGCAAAGGAGTGATTGCAACAGGTATGGAGGAAGTTGGGTTCAAGACACTTCGTATCCTCTCTACAATTCATCAGCCTGCCCTTTTATCCGCAAGGAATTTGACTGTCTAAAATATGGACGCCCTGATCACCTCTACCTTCAATATAGATGGCAGCCTAGTGCCTGTGACTTGCCCAGGTACATGCATTCATCTGTCCATCTCTCTTTTCTGATCTTAGACCAAGTGTTAATTAACAAGAAGAGCTTTTATATTTTCATTTTTATAATGAATCCTCATATAATTTTTTTAAAAAGGAGCTTCTAGCTTCTCCCATGCAATGATGTTTTAAGGCTTTTTCTGCCTTCTTTTGAGCTGTAGTTTTTAAACATACAAATGGAAAAATATGGGTCTCCATGTGGTTTGATTAGGCTAGCAAGTCTTAGACCATAAAATATAAAAAAAATTAAGGGCAAACATAAGAAGTAATCCATAGTTAGTCTCAATTTTGTCATCAAACAATTCTTTTTTTTAATCAATTTTACTTTTAGATCTTAGAAACTATCAATTAATTAAAGGCATTGTTTTATAAAGAATTCAATGGTTTTTGTTAGGTTATTCTAAATAAAAAGCTCTAATTGAAAAATCAAAATAACTTAAAAGTAAAATTGATTAAAAAATATAGTTTTTAAACAAAATTGAGACCATCCTAGCTAATAGTTTAGGAGGGGGTATATATGATGTTTGTTTAAAATTAAAAACCAAAGATCAACATTTAATTATTTTATTGCGACGGTGATAGGTTGTCGCCACGGGTCAATTTTCCCATAACTAAATTATTCAGTGGTGGTGGTGTACCTCAAGAAAAGCTAAGAAAATGATGGTGACATTTGACGCATCTCATCAACAAACTAAAAAATAAAAAATAAAAATAAATTTTGGAACAATTCAAGCAGCAATGCTAAAAATGCATATTGTATTGGTCCCTCCTCCTCCTCCCCCTCCTCCTTCGTCTTCTTCTAGGTCACAT